ACCTGGGATGTGGCGGCAAGAACCTCAGGGTTCTTCCTGGAAAGCAGGCTGGGAAGCCCCCTGGAGGCGCCCCCCACCTGGCTGCAGAGATCTGAAGGTCACAGCAGCCTCTCCCAGCTTCCTTTCCCAGGGGGCTTGCTGGGGAGGGAGTCTCCATGGCAACACCGAGGGACCACCTGTTGGAGGAGTCAGGCACTGGAGAAAAACGACCTCCTTCCCTCATTCCAGCAGCCTCTGCCGAGGGTTTGAGGGGAAGCGGTTGGCCCACGTTGGAAACTTAATCCCCGCTGCTGCCCTGAGCTACCCCGTGGAGGTCATTCTCTCAGCCTGAAAGGCCTAAGTGGTGATAATGCCTCGTTAAGCAGCAGCCCTCAGACCCGGGTGCCTGATGAGAGCCGCCTCTGCCTCCCAGGCTGCCTGTAGAGGGCTCTCCCCTGAGAGGAGGCACTTAGCTCCCGGGTCAGAGAGCTGGAGCCGGAGGCAGGGGGCCGGGTGGCTTGAGTGTCCATGCCAATCTTGTCCGGAAGCCACCGGCAGGGCCTCCTGAGAGGCTGTATTTGCCTCGTTGTCTGCACTGCTGTTTCCTCCGCCTGCCTGTCCCAGGTCTTTACTCGCCTGGGGGTGGAGCGGGGAACAGGAAGTGAGGAGGAGGGGTGGAGTCGCCTCATGGTGGGCTGAGGAATGGGTCCCCAGGTCTGCGCAGGGGCTGGTGCGAGAACGGTAAAAAGAGAGGCATGTGAGTATGCTATGTCACCCGAAGTCCCCGTGAACTCTTTGCCTGTCCCACTCCCCCCCACCCCCCACCCCCTGCCAAGGTCCCACCTTGTGGGAATTCCGTCCTCAGGGGTTCCTGACTTCCATGTTGGGCCTTAACATTTTTCTTTGCCTCAGCTTTGCTGTCTGTGAAATGAACAATTTGTTGAAGTCGAATTGCCTTATAAACCATGGTTGCAACGAGAAAGAACTAGCCAGTTACTCGTAACATTCATCAGCTTTTTCATGACTTTTGACTGAGTGATATTGTCTAAAGGAATGTATTCCTCCTAAATGCCCATGAGCTTTATACAATGTTGTTTCTAATTGAACAATATCAGTAACTGGGATCAGGGGATACCCCAGTAACTTGATATATCCAGATGCAGGGATAAGTGATGGCCACTCAGAAACCATCAGTGGGAAGTGGACAGGGGGTAACATGCCAGAAAAGGAGTGCAGACCACTTATGTGTCCCTCCTCCCATATCTTCAGAACTTTGTAAAATGCTTTGCAAACAGTAAATCTTCAATAAATATGTGTTGAATTATTTCAACTATATAAAAATTGTATCCAAAGAAAACAAGCATGGGAGAAACTATTTTAGAATGTTAACAGAGGTTAATTCTGGATGAATTTATGTGTGATTAAAAAAAATTTTTTTTAATGTTTATTTATATTTGAGAGAGATAGAGACAAAGAGAGAGCAAGTGCTCGGCAGAGAGAGAGAGTAGACACAGAATCTGAAGCAGGCTCCAGGCTCTGAGCTGTCAGCACAGAGCTTGATGGAGGGCTCAAACCCACAAACTGTGAGATCATAACCTGAGCCAAAGTTGGAAGCTTAACCAACTGAGCCACCCAGGTGCCCCTGTGTGATTTTAATTTTTTTCTTTATTCTTCTGAAAATTGAAAAAATTCAACATGTGCATGTATTACTCTTATTATTATTAAATTTATAATGTTTTATTTGTTTTTGATAGAAAGAGAGAGAAGGACAAAGACAAAGCATAAGTGGGGAAGGGGCAGAGAGAGAGGAGACACAGAATCTGAAGCAGGCTCCAGGCTCTGAGCTGTCAGCACAAAGCCTGATGTGGGGCTTGAATTCACGGACCGTGAGATTGTGATCTGAGCTGAAGTCAGATGCTCAACCGACTGAGCCAACCAGGTGTCCCCTATTATTATTTTTAAAGGTTATTTTTATTTATTTTGAGAGAGAGAGAGAGAGAGAGCAAGCAGGTGAGGGACAGAGGGAGAGGGAGACAGAATCCCAAGCAGGCTCTGCACCATCAGTGCAGAGCCCAACGTGGGGCTCAAACTCATGAATAGTGAGATAATGACCTGAGCCGAAATCAAGAGTCAGGGGCTTAACCAACTGAGCCAGCCAGGAACCCCTGAACTACTCTTATTTTTAAGTGCAATAACTTGAATATTATGTTGGCTTATAAAAATATCGATGTACTTTAAAAATCCAAACAGTGCAGAAAAGTATAAAAAAGAGACTAAAGTCACCACAGGTCCCACATTCGAGCAGTTATAGGTATTAATATGGGCAGATAGGCCCCAGTGAGCTCACTCTCCCCATATACTGGGGTGACACGTGTGTGGTTTTACAGTGTGTGGTTTTACATGAGCAGCTCAGAGAGTACAAGCTGTCTTGTAACCCTTTTACCCATCCTGTATCCTGGGCTCCTTTCCCTGTCAGTACAGACTGATCTGTACCCTTTTAAATGCCTACATAGTACTTGGTTTCACAGATGTGAAGGAAAGTCAACTAAATGCTGCTTTGTGGGGGCGCCTGGGTAGCTTAGTTGGTTAAGTGACCAGCTTCAGCTCAGGTCATGATCTCATGATTCGTGAGTTCTAGCCCTGCTTCGGGCTCTGTGCTGACAGCCTGGAACCTGCTTTGGATTCTGTGTCTCCCCCTCTCTGCCCCTCCCCTGTTCGCATTCTGTCTCTCTCAAAAATAGATAAACATTAAAAAAATTCAAATGTTGCTTTGTTGTGTTCTCTTTTTTTTTTAAACATTTTTGCTCTTGTAATCAGTACTGACATTTCTTTATAATACAAAAATTAGAGCAATTAAAACTTTTTGGCTTGGAGTTTAGGTTGAAGGTTTCAGCAGGATGGACCAAAGGAAACTAGCCACACTTGCCAAGGGAAGCAGTTTTCAGGGCTTGTTGACGAGGTTCTTGACGCTTGAAGCATGACTGTGCACAGAAGGAGCAGGCTGGGGGGCTGGGGTGCACAGGGGAGGCTCCAAGGTGTCAGGGAAGACACTTAGTTCAATAAAAAAGACCCTCTCATCACAAAGAGCCTATCTCACGTGGAGAGGGCCCCCTTGTAGCATCTAGGCCAGGATGTGGCTCCGTCTGGGGCTCTCATCAGTGGCCCTGTTATCTTGGAGAGGCCTCAAGCCCCTCTGAGAGATCCTGTTAGAGGAGAGTAGAGCAGGGGGTGAGCCTTTCCAGCTGCTTCACAGGCTCAGGAGCCGGGCTCAGGGGAAGGGCGGAGAGAGTGATGGGCTGAATGAGTTATCAGCTTGGTGCAGGCCTGGCTTGGTGGGAGAAGCCTGAGTCAGACGGCTGTGTCCAGATCTCTGCTCTGTCATTTACCAGCTGGTGACCTCCGGGAGACACCTGACCTCTTGGAGCCGCAATTGGATCTCCTGGTCTGTAAGATAAACACCGTAACTACTTTCCAGCCCTGGCTGTGCATAGAGCCCTGTTTCTGGAGTGTGTGGAAGCTGAGAACATATGCTGTTCTTAGTGGATGCAACTCTAGAACGTCATCTAGGCCAAACACACTTCCTAACTGCTTAGAGGAGAGGGAACTTGCTGATTTGCAAAGTAGCTTGGATTGGGGCTCACCCGTGCTGGTAGGCGAGGAGGTTGGGCTGCAGACGACTATGGTGTGTGTGTACGTGTGCGTTGGGATGGGGGTAGTCAGCTTGTTGCCAAGCACGTGAGTGACTATGACGTGGTGAGAAAGAGGAGGAGGTGGCGTGGCTGTGGACACAGGCTGCCACAGAGAGACAGATTAGATGTGGAGGTGATTTGAGGCTAGGCCTGACTGAGAATCTGCCATGTATGGCTCAGCGGAAGAACTTTCTGGGGAGTGCGGTAGCTGCCTCCTGGAGGGACCTGCTTTTCTGAGGCTGCACTAGCTCCCTGTGAAGAGAAGTGGCCTGGCAGAGGCCAGTGAGTTTCCCTGGGAGGCTCAGCAGGGACCAGATGGCCTTGAAGGTGGGGTTCATGGCCAAGGTGCCCTAGTCATGGTTGTGGGGGGGGGGAGGGTGCTGAGGAGAAACACATGTAGCCTTGGAAGGGAAGAAAGGGGCCAGAGGCCGGGATGGTGTGGGGAGAGGAGCCACTGGAGTTCAGGCCTGGCCCTGAGATCCAGACAGTGGGCCTCCTGCCCTCCTTCCCTTCTATGCAAGACTGACCTTGTGGCCGGCTCCTGCCTGTGGGCCTCCCTGGCTCCCTGTCTTCCTCGGCTTGTTTTCTCAGGCCCTCTGTGATCTGGACTCCCATCCCCCAACCCCCGTTTCTCACAGCTCCTGACTCCCAGCCTGTCTCTTCCATCAGCCCCCAGACACTCTGGGCTGTTCTCTTTTCCCGGAATGTCCATTCCGTCCCACTCACTCTGCACACCTGCCTTGTCTTTTAGGCCTCAGCTTGGGGCCCATGTCTTTAGTCCTCCTTAAAATGCACGGCCCACCTGCTGTCTCCTGCTCACAATATGGACAGCTTGTAGGAGCCAGAGACACCAGATAATGGCAGTGGTGTCTGCAAGGGGGCCTTTTTCAAGCACAGGGCATGCTCTTTACTTGTTTATGCCCCATGCTAACCTTATGAGATAGTCAGTTATTATCCCCATTTTATAGGTGAGGAAAATGAGGCTCAGCAAGGATTCTACCTGAATAGCCTCCAGTTGGCTAGTCTCTGCGTGAATGTCTTGTCTCTCCAATTAGCCTGGGCAAAAGCCATGACTTTGGCTTCCATAGCTCTCTCAGCAGTGAGCCTGTGCCCTGTGCATTTCCCTGGCTACACATTAGCTGCAAAGATGGGCCTTAGCTTGTTGGACCTCAGAATAGACTTGGGGGTCCCGCGGCTTGGCTGGGTGGCACCACCCAGCCCTGTTGATGAGATGACAGGCTGGAGGCAGTGGAGAGGGAGCATGGAGCTGAGCCCTGGCCTGGGGGCCACCCTGGGTATCTCACCATTTCGTTCTTTCCTTGCCTCCACCAGGGAACTCAACGGCAACAACATCACTCGGATCCATAAAAACGACTTTGTGGGGCTCAAGCAGCTGCGGGTGCTGTGAGTAACCTCCCTCCTGCCCTTACCCTTGGCAATGGCCCTGTGGCTCCCTGGCAGAGCCCTGGTTGTGGGCTGTAGAGGCGTAAGCCAGCACAGCCTATCCCTGTGGAGTCAGTCTTTGGATGCCCTGAGGGGGATGGGGCAGAAGTGCTGGGGAGTCCTGCCGCCGAGCAGCCACCGCCTTGCACACGGCTGAGCACTTGGACGTGGCATAGGCACCAGTGGTCGCTGCCTGGCAGGGTCTGGGCCGGACAGATGGGGTGTCTTGTCTATCGGTCGTATCCTGGAATGCGGGAAGACCGGCTAACCATGAGGAATCTTTAGGTCTCTGGCTTAGCTTGCTGGGGCTGCCATAACAAATCCTCCCAGACGGGGCAGCTTAAACAACAGGGATTTACTTTCTCCCAGTCCTTGAGGCTGGAAGTCCATGATCAAGGTCCCATCAAAGTTTTTTGTAGTGAGGCCTCTCTTCTTGGCCACCTTCTTGTGCCCTACCCTTATGACCTCATTTAACTTTAATTACCTCACTAAAGACTCCATCTCCAAATCACACTGGGGTTTAAGGCTTCAGTGTATGAATTTTGGAGGATGCGTTTTAGTCTATAACATTCTCCATAGTTCTTTTGACTCTGTGCCTCAGAAAGACTTCCCAGCAAGGCTACAGCTCCCCTGACTTGAGAGGGTAGGTGAGTAGGGGCAGTTGAGGATACAGGTGACCTGCTTGGGTGCCTGATAGTGGCAGATATTGGAGGTGGTGGGTGTGGCTCTATTGGTGGTGACCACTAGCCACCAAAGGAGCCATGTGCAGCATTTCCCTTGTTGGGCTGGGCAGGGGTGAGGAGTGAGGACTGAGGAGTGAGATGGGGAAGGGGTGGGTCCCTTCATCTCTTCCTGCTCTACTCCTCTTAGACACATGCATGCATTCTGACACATTCAACATCAGACATTCATAGGGTCTTCATCCCCTGCTCTCAGGGTAGTGCAAGGGTCCTGGGGCCTCAGTTCTTTCAGAACTGCTTTGTAGCCCTGAGGGTCTTTGGTGGGGCTAGGGACCTTTTGGTCTCCACCTTCTCTGGGGTCATAACTGTCAGTTGCTGGACAGGGGTCTTTGCTGCTCCAGAACCAGCTGATCTTTGACTCCTTCCCAGGCTCCAGGAATCTTTGCTGAGTGTGGGAAAACCCTCCCTCCCTCCTGGCATCCCCCACCCACCCAGGCCTCCAGCACGAGCTTCTCAATAGCTCAGGCTTTTGGAAACAGGAGAAAGCCTGTGGTGGCAGCTTCCACCCCTGTCCTACCCTCAAACCTCCTCTGAGGTCCCTGTCGGACCTCAAGCCACCTGCTTGAGAGTGGACAGGAGAAAACCACAGGGAGAGACATATACTCGATTGTCTCCAAAATTACCACACAACAAGCAGACTGCCTGGCAGCCAGACGCTCTGGGCTGTAGGTGCGTTGGTGGTGAGGAGGTGCTGTCTCCCGGAGCCAGGCAGTCGAGTGGGCAGCCAGGCGGCGTGGGAGTGCGGACCGAGGTGCTGTCTGCCAACTGCAGTGTGTTTGCTGCACGTGTGGGCTTTGCCCAGTTGGCACAGGCCCCCGCCCTCTGCCCCCGGCCCATCTTCCTGCTCTGCCCCTTGGACATGTGCCCTCTGGGCTGAAGGAGGGCACGTGTGCCAACAGCCTGGCATTGACCCCTGCTGCCTGGGGCCCAGCTTCCCAAGACGAGGATGTCTTTGGAGCCGTGGCCTGGTGCTCTGGCATCCTGTGGCCATGGTGGCCGCTTCAGAGGGATCGGCATGGGCTCGTGAGCTGGCCGTACATCTTGCTGTCAGGGCTGAGTGGGCCGCCGAGCCCTGCCGGGAATCTGTGAGGCTGGGAGGCAGTTTTGTAAGCTCGGCACAGGACGCGGGTCTGCGTGGATCTTGGGCCCTGCTCCTGTTTCGCTCCCTTATGCCATCTGTTGCTGAAGTCCTTGTCCAACACCCTGCAGCTGTCCCGTCTCTTTGCCTCCCCAGGCAGCTGATGGAGAACCAGATTGGCGTGGTGGAGCGGGGGGCTTTTGACGACATGAAGGAGCTGGAGCGGCTGTAAGTATCCTCGGGCACGGGCGCGGGGCGGCCCTGAGGGCACATGGCAGCCGAGCCTGGCAGCGAGGGCAGTGTGCGGGGAGAGGACCGCATGCCCCGCCTGCCTTCCACCTGCTGATGGGAGCCCAGGGCGGCTGCAGCCCTGGAAGCCATCACAGTGTCGTCGTGAGATGACAGCAGGGACAAAGCTGGAGGGTGTCCGCACCCCAAACCCTAAATGCAACTCTGTTGGTTTTCCGTGAGAAAACATCATGGCAGAAAACCCACGCAGTACTGAGGAAGTGACATCACTTCCTGTCATCCAATACTCACTGATTCGTGTAGGAAGAAATGGTGTGCCAAGGAGACCGTCTGGGAAGGTGCAGTGGCTGGCCACCTGAGGGTTTGTGTCTTGGGTGTTCAAGGCCATGGCATAGAAACTAGAAGGTGGAAGTGTTTCTGATTTATGTGGTTTGCTCCATATGGGGCTTTTGCATTTGAAAACGGGTCTTGATCGATTTTTGCATTTCAGGTTGGCAATAATGAAAAGGGAATGTGGTACGAGTGAGGTGGGGGATGGACTCTCAACTTCACGGTGGTCACTGGTCTCATTTTTTTGCTTTTGTTTGGCTTTCAAGAGGTATGCAGAGTGCTGAAGTTCATGCCCTTTGAACCAGAGACTCCCATTTTATTTTAGGGAAATAATCAGAGACGTGGCTAAATATTTGTATATCAGGGGATATTCTTGGCACATCATTTAAACACACCAGCAGCAAGAAAATGGAAAACCATTCTGGTGGAGACATAAGATATCAGATCACATTTTTCAAGAACAGTTAAGACCATTGGAATGTGCTTACAATATAATAGTAAATGGAAAAGGCAGGAAGTGACATTTATGTAATTTAATCAGCTTGTATGTACATAGAATACAGGAAGAGGAAAATTATTGGGAATATTAACTCTCATTACACTGTGTGGTGGGATAATTTTATTCTTTGTGCTCATCTTTTTTTTATGAATTTTCTTACAATGAGTTTATAATTATAATTATAGCTACTGTTGATTGCCTTACTCTGTGCCAGGCACCAAGATGAGCTCTTTGCCCTACGATATCTCATTTAATCCTTAAAACAACACAGTGGTCAGTGGTATTTTACAGATGAGAAACCGAGGTGCACTGCAGTTAAGGCTCTTGTGTTATTAAGTGATTATTCAGTGATTAAGTGCAGAGGAGGGGATTAGAACCCGGATCATTTTGCCTCCAAAGCCTGAGATCTTAATGACTATGACCTCATACCTCACTCTTCTCTTTTACTTCAAAGAAAGTGAGGTATTAAATAAAGGGAGAAGAATATGGTTGTCTCCTTGCCTTCCTGCCGCCTGGAAGACATTCAAGGCGATCTTTCTTCTGTGTTCCTCATCCAGGCCTAGAACTGAGCGACAAACTGAGCCTGCAGCTAGGACAGATGATTAGTCCTGTGTTTGTTTTCTTGAAAAGGCTCAGAACAAAATAGGTCCTCGTGACCTGGCTGGGAGGGCCCGGTTGGGACCTAACCCTCTGTGGCTCCAGCTGGGGGCTGCCCTGCCCTGCAAGAGGAGAAGAGGTGGGTGGGGGTCTACCCACGGTGGGGGTGACCCAGGTCATGCCACCGCTGCTGCTGCCAGGACAGCAGCAGAGCCCTCCTTTTTGAGTCATGACTTGTCATCGCAGACTTTGTCTCCTCTGTCCTTTCCTAGTTCCTTTCTAACAGGGAGGTGGCGGGGGGGCAGGGAGGGTCACCAGCAACTTCATAGTTCTTGGTGGGTGTGGCTTCTGCATTCCTGGGGGTGCCTGGTGCTCCCTGTGGACGGCTGGCACCCTCTCCTCCGACTTGTTGGAGCCCAGTGGTGATCCGTTAGTCATAAGAGTTGGTTAAAGTGGGCCACACGCAAACACCACACAGGCTCGAAACATTCCATTTTAAGCTAAAATATGTAAGCATGCATATATTGACCCTCTCTTCCCTCCCGCCCCCCCCTTTTTTTTTTGCCAAGGCTTTTCTTCTTAGTATGAGATTAGAATTCCGTACTGTTTTACTCATCTCTACTCCACACAAATTACTTGCTTATGACTTTTGGTTTTGGTTTCTTTAAGGTGCAGTGAGATGTTTAAAAGGGCCTTTAACAACAATCTGGGTGAAGAGTGAAGAGTTTGGAGTTTCTTTCGTGACCCTCCTGCCCCCTGGTCCAGTCTTTTACTTAATTCAACAGCCCTTTAACTGGCAGCTTTGGGTTTATTGACTTTTTCCAAAGCATACAATTTTGTTTTCAACGAGTTGACTCTTTCTTTTCACACTAGTATTTTGTTCACTTGTATGATAGTTAATTATGTTTTATAATTATAAGTACCCCCGGCATAGATAGGTTTGGGAGCAGACATAACTGGTTCTTGTAAGCAGTTACTCCAGGCTCGAGGGCAGAAGCGGAAGTGTGCAGTCCTGTTGGCCATGAGGACCGGAGTGCCATGGGCACAGAGGGCGCTCAGTCACCCTGACCCTGAGCTGGCTGAGTGGGGGTCGGTGCGTAATGTGGGGAAAGGTGCTCTTCAGAACCCGGCTCTACTGCTCGGTGGTCACTTGGGTGAGTCACTCACCTCTGGGCATCCCAGTTTCCTCAACTATCACAGAGACAACTCAACAGTCAAGAAACATCCTGAGCACATAATTAAGAGCCAAGCTGTGTGACAAGTGGTGAAACTTTCCCTTGGGGTTGTTGCAAGGAGGCGGGGGGGGGGGGGGGTGTCGGTGAATCAATGTAAGCCCTTGTGGTCATACTCAAAAGGAAGAATCCCATCTGTGCGTTCTGCTTCCCTCTGTTGGTGAGGTAGTGCTTCCAAAACATTTAGTCTGGTGCCCGGCACATGGCGAGGGCCAATCAGGACCAGTAACCACTACTGTGTTACTATTCTCCGCTACCTACAGGTCCCTCGCCATGCTGGGTCCCCCCTTTCGTGTCTTTTGATTTTCTATTTTAAACTGGCTGTTGAATTTTTTTCCCCCTCTTAAGTGTTTTCAGAAATTGAAACCAGAAAGATGAGAAAGTCCTGGGGGAAAACAAAACAAAACAAAACCAATGATCACCAGACACTGTAAATACAGGATTAATTTACTGGACAAGGTGAAGGAACTTGAGGTGATCTGATGTCTACTCCTGTTGCTTTAAGGATTATATTGGTGGTCCCCCCCTTTTTTTCCCCAAGGCAGTGATGTGTTCCCCCGGGAGCCCTCCCTTTTGAGTAAACCTCCTCCAGCTCGTCTCATTGCACCGTGCTGGAAAATGATGCCTTTCTCACATATCAGACGAAAGGTGACCTCTTAGGAGGTTCCACAGGCCAGTTACTATTGGCCGCAGAGAATTACATTTCTCCCTCCCTCCCAGTGAAAGAAAGCGCTTACAGAGCGGGGTTTCTCATGTCCAGCACTGTTGAAGGAGATGGTTGTGTAAGGCCCAAACTGTGCTATAGTCTGGAGGGCGGAGGCTGCCTTGTACACCTGTGCTCCAGCCTTGGTGTGCACGCAGGTCACCTGGGGATCTTGTTAACACACAGACTCTGACTCAACAGGTCTGGGGTAGAGCCTGGGACATTGCAGCTCTTACCAGCTCCCAGGTGAAGCCCCTGCAGGTCTGTGTGAGTACCAAGCTTCTACATTTGCAGGTATCACAGCCCCGGTGGGCTGGCGCCTGGTGCTCTGGTGTCAGAGAACTAGGTGCTAAAGGTGGCCAGATGCATCTGGTTAGGCGTTGCTGCCTTCTGGGAGGAGTCCGGGTCCTTTCTGCATTATGTCTTCTCGTCCAGGCCACGTTCCAGGACCAGACTTCTCACTTCTGCCCTGTGTTTACAAAACTGGAAAGTTGTCTGTCCACCCCTAGAGCAATCAGAAATGACGGGCATTCTAGTCAGTCATTAAAAATAAAGGAGTCGCTCTGTATTGTCTGGCATGGAAAGACATCCACAAATTGTTGAGTGAGGAAAATGCAGATGGCTGAATACTTTTTCTTCTATTACTTGAAGTTTTTTAAAGAATTAAGCATGTGTTTTCTTTTAAAAATTTTTAAAAATATTTTATATATTTCTGAGAGAGAGAGATATAGCATGAGAAGGGGAGGGTCAGAGAGAGAGGGAGATACAGAATCTGAAACAGTCTCCAGGCTCCGAGCTGGCAGCCCAGAGCCCAACGCGGGGCTTGAACCCATGAACTGAAATCATGACCTGAGCTGAAGTCGGACGCTTAACCGACTGAGCCACCCAGGCGCCCCAAGCATGTGTTTTCATAAATAATTTAAAAAATCAATAAAACTATGATCATTTTGAAAAAAGACCTAAAGCAAACAAACAAAAAAGTTAAGTTGCCATGGAGTCAAATGTGGATGAAAGCAAAAGCAATAAAAAATCAGGACCTCGTGGCTGGTCCTACCCCATTAGGGTATATCTCACATTTGAAGTGTACATGGGTATTTAGCTCAGAAAACAAGATCATATTTGAATCAGTGCCTTCTAAGTTACCAGGAGTCTTGTAAATCCAACTGTGCTGATGATGAGCAACGGAGGAAATCATGGAAGGGGTTGTCTGCCTGCTGTACTTCAGGTTCTTGGTGGGGAGCTTTCACACGTGCTCTGTGCTCCTCCTCCCCCAGTGTCAGATGGCAAACTCCCACTTTATAGATGAAGAAACTGAGGTCCAGAGGGGCGCCTAGGTGGCTTAGTTGGTTAAGCGACTGACTTTCGCTTAGGTCATGATCTCACGGTTCGTGGGTTCGAGCCCCGTGTGGGGCTCTGTGCTGACTGCCAGCTCAGAGCCTGGAGCCTGTTTCAGAGTCTGTGACTCCCTCTCTCTCTGACCCTCCCCTGCTCACGCTGTCTCTCTCTCTCCTAGAAATAAATAAAACATTAAAAAAAAAAAAAAAAAGAAACTGAGGCCCAGAGGTCATTTCCCTGGGGTTCCACAGTGACCCTGTCAGAATTGGAACCCTGTGCCTTC